TGCACCATTGGTGCAACCGTTGTGAAGATCTAGTTAGTTGGCTGTTGCTATGTGTCAAATCCGTTCGTGTGGAACAGTAAATTCTAACTTCAATCGATTTCTGCTCTCTGATACCAACACAGTGCAGCGAAATGAAATCGACGATTTGGTCTCCCTCATCAAAACTCGCAACCATCATTGACAATCTAACCAACAAGGGGAGCCTTACGGGCTCGATACAACTCAGCGTTCATTTCGACGTATTGCAACCCATCTCAAATTCTGAATCCGAATAAATAAGCAAGTAAGATAGACAAATCTGATGTGATCCAGCTATCTCAGATAATAATGATGATCTAGCTGAAGTCTGCAAGGACACGTTCTCCGGTGGAAATTCACGGTGCACAACCGAAAAATCGCTATCTAACTGTCGCCTCACGGATTTGCCAACACCAATCTACACAAGCTGTGGTTCGGAGAAAACCGTTGTCGAACACCTGAAACACCTGCGTCCCGTTTATCAAACAGATTAGGTCTCAGAGCCATACAGCAGATTAGCCCGTATTGCCATCTGATACACACGTTACTTGATACTCACGGATATACCACCTTGACGCCATAGGCTCTTCGAATTAGCAAGCGCGACCCGAGCATTGCGGGTTCATGCACTGATATTAAAACCGATACAACCTCGAATGTATATAAAACGCTGCACCACACTAGCTCTCCAACGGAATCAGAAAAATACCTGCGATCTTATATAAGATTTGTTCTGCCTCTGTGGATTCCCCCGACCCGCCTAAAAGATCTCTCTCCTCACAGAATTGCACATACCAGCCAAATCACCTCAAAAATGATGCCCGTTATGGGGCTGTCCAGAAACCGACGTATTTTATTGCAGTGATGACACAGCACTGCTATACCCAGCTTGAAAGCATACCCGCAACTATGCCCTTCCTTTACTTGTGTGTACCCCATCTCCCACTTGTTTCGTTTCTTGCAACTGCGAAAAAATTCATGCTTTATTCTGACCAGACTTATGATCAGGCCTAACGGTACACCACCCAATTGTAAAAAACAAACATTATTATGATAACGTGACATTTTGTGAGTACGAAGTGTACACCAATGGACAGAATGACTTTAGTCTATTCACCCAAAGCCACCTGCGCCTATTCCTCCTCTTCGAAGATGCTAACGATGTTACTCCGTGTCGATTTTTGCCAGCTATTTGAAAACCGGGTCCAGAAGACATTTCTGCGCTCGTCTCATTATCTCGTCGATCATGAAATTAAATTAAGATGGAGAGAGAGCACTCTCGACGGACACCGCATTTTGTACGGAAGCTTTTGGAGCTCTCTATATATTCCGTAACGTGTCCGCCAATTCCGCACCGCCCATCCACGACGATGCAAAGGACTGCATGGTTAACAACTCTCACTTCAACGGCATGCCCACCACCCAAAATATACTACTTCCGCATGTTGGACCTAATAATTCACCCTCTGCAGTGAACGAAAGGAAGACCAAAATGCAGGCAAATTTTGTCGGATGCCTGTTTCTGGTCTGTGCTTTTCCGGGTATGTCGCCTCATTGAAGTAGTTGGGAATTCTGACAACTTTTGACTGTCCGTTATTTCGGGGGCATTCTAGCTCACATCAAAGTGCTTTCTAGCAAACCTTCCAGACACTACTTATTCAGGGTCCCCAATGTAGATATGGCTGTCTTATCACCTCGTTTGAATGGCAACAATGAACCCCCGTGCACCCTCGATGGATACATGAATATCCTAACTATGGTGAAAATCATAAACGGCTCATCCAATGTGTTCATGTAAAGGGCTGTCCACGGACCGAAGTACGGCGTCGCAATGACGGTGCAGCGACTACCATACCTAGTGTGATAGCTTGCCTGTAGTTCACTGTATGTGTAATATCTCCCAGACGAGCGTGTTACCCAGAAGACCGATTAGCCCCCTTAATTTGTGCAAGTACTTGAAAGCAATGGCCATCTTATTGTGCCGTCTGCTTGCTCCGCCCACTGGCCCAATAGTTCATCTAACTACATTGTTGGTGGCTCGGCATATCGGTGAAGATTAAACCTTGCCTTAAGCCAGATATAACGCATGTGGACCATAATAAAAATAAACTTACTGCCTGTGACGAATTCCTTGGCCTTAGCGGGACGCTTGCTGCAACAATGGAAGACTTCATATCCAGGTCACGAATGGCTGCTCGAATTCGGGTTTGCACAGACGTAATGGGCTTGAATATCGTCTAAGTCGTTTTGAGATTATTTGCAAATCTATTACTTAAGAAGCCATGCAAAGAAACCAGCTTTTTCACAAAACTACCCACCGTTCTCATTGTCATAGCAGCAATGCGCGAAGCCACCAACAGCCATTAAAACACGAATTCCGTGCCCGCAGTGGACTCCGAGTTCGTTTAAACAACTTCTGATAAAACTGCGGCTGCTTGGGAAATCTTAAGCTCCCGAATACTTACCATCAAATACCAAAACTCCGTGTTGAATGTTTTTTGCGAACCGCAGTTTCAGAGAAATTTTGGGTGTTCCTCTGGGAGGCGACGTGAGAATCCAAAATTGCGCAAAGTGGGATGGTGTAGATTTGAACCACAAAGCAAAAGGTCCCTGCGGCCAATCTTATACCGCTTGGCCATCGAGCTGCGAGTGGCGATTGATGCAATGGGTACGCCCTGCAGGGAGGGTTGCACTGTTACGTTGCACCATGGTGCGTTCGTATGCTCGCCACCCCTCCAGTAGCACGGGTGTATCTCTAGCTGAAATCTGCAAGGACACGTTCTCCGGTGGAAATTCACGGTGCACAACCGAAAAATCGCTATCTAACTGTCGCCTCACGGATTTGCCAACACCAATCTACACAGGCTGTGGTTCGGAGAAAACCGTTGTCGAACACCTGAAACGCCTGCGTCCCGTTTATCAAACAGATTAGGTCTCAGAGCCATACAGCAGATTAGCCCGTATTGCCATCTGATACACACGTTACTTGATACTCACGGATATACCACCTTGACGCCATAGGCTCTTCGAATTAGCAAGCGCGACCCGAGCATTGCGGGTTCATGCACTGATATTAAAACCGATACAACCTCGAATGTATATAAAACGCTGCACCACACTAGCTCTCCAACGGAATCAGAAAAATACCTGCGATCTTATATAAGATTTGTTCTGCCTCTGTGGATTCCCCCGACCCGCCTAAAAGATCTCTCTCCTCACAGAATTGCACATACCAGCCAAATCACCTCAAAAATGATGCCCGTTATGGGGCTGTCCAGAAACCGACGTATTTTATTGCAGTGATGACACAGCACTGCTATACCCAGCTTGAAAGCATACCCGCAACTATGCCCTTCCTTTACTTGTGTGTACCCAATCTCCCACTTGTTTCATTTCTTGCAACTGTGAAAAAATTCATGCTTTATTCTGACCAGACTTATGATCAGGCCTAACGGTACACCACCCAATTGTAAAAAACAAACATTATTATGATAACGTGACATTTTGTGAGTACGAAGTGTACACCAATGGACAGAATGACTTTAGTCTATTCACCCAAAGCCACCTGCGCCTATTCCTCCTCTTCGAAGATGCTAACGATGTTTGCACACTCCGTGTCGACAAGATTTTTGCCAGCTATTTGAAAACCGGGTCCAGAAGACATTTCTGCGCTCGTCTCATTATCTCGTCGATCATGAAATTAAGTGGGAATGGAGAGAGAGCACTCTCGACGGACACCGCATTTTGTACGGAAGCTTTTGGAGCTCTCTATATATTCCGTAACGTGTCCGCCAATTCCGCACCGCCCATCCACGACGATGCAAAGGACTGCATGGTTAACAACTCTCACTTCAACGGCATGCCCACCACCCAAAATATACTACTTCCGCATGTTGGACCTAATAATTCACCCTCTGCAGTGAACGAAAGGAAGACCAAAATGTAGGCAAATTTTGTCGGATGCCTGTTTCTGGTCTGTGCTTTTCCGGGTATGTCGCCTCATTGAAGTAGTTGGGAATTCTGACAACTTTTGACTGTCCGTTATTTCGGGGGCATTCTAGCTCACATCAAAGTGCTTTCTAGCAAACCTTCCAGACACTACTTATTCAGGGTCCCCAATGTAGATATGGCTGTCTTATCACCTCGTTTGAATGGCAACAATGAACCACCGTGAATCCTCGATAGATACATGAATATCCTAACTATAGTGAAAATCATAAACGGCTCATCCAATGTGTTCATGTAAAGGGCTGTCCACGGACCGAAGTACGGCGTCGCAATGACGGTGCAGCGACTACCATACCTAGTGTGATAGCTTGCCTGTAGTTCACTGTATGTGTAATATCTCCCAGACGAGCGTGTTACCCAGAAGACCGATTAGCCCCCTTAATTTGTGCAAGTACTTGAAAGCAATGGCCATCTTATTGTGCCGTCTGCTTGCTCCGCCCACTGGCCCAATAGTTCATCTAACGACATTGTTGGTGGCTCGGCATATCGGTGAAGATTAAACCTTGCCTTAAGCCAGATATAACGCATGTGGACCATAATAAAAATAAACTTACTGCCTGTGACGAATTCCTTGGCCTTAGCGGGACGCTTGCTGCAACAATGGAAGACTTCATATCCAGGTCACGAATGGCTGCTCGAATTCGGGTTTGCACAGACGTAATGGGCTTGAATATCGTCTAAGTCGTTTTGAGATTATTTGCAAATCTATTACTTAAGAAGCCATGCGAAGAAACCAGCTTTTTCACAAAACTACCCACCGTTCTCATTGTCATAGCAACAATGCGCGAAGCCACCAACAGCCATTAAAACACGAATTCCGTGCCCGCAGTGGACTCCGAGTTCGTTTAAACAACTTCTAATAAAACTGCGGCTGCTTGGGAAATCTTAAGCTCCCGAATACTTACCATCAAATACCAAAATTCCGTGTTGAAGGTTCTATTTTGCGAACCGCAGTTTCGGAGAAATTTTGGGTGTTACTCTGGGAGGCGACGTGAGAATCCAAAATTGCGCAAAGTGGGATGGTGTAGATTTGAACCACAAAGCAAAAGGTCCCTGCGGCCAATCTTATACCGCTTGGCCATCGAGCTGCGAGTGGCGATTGATGCAATGGGTACGCCCTGCAGGGAGGGTTGCACTGTTACGTTGCACCATGGTGCGACGCCCTGCAGGGTTGCACTGTTACGTTGCACCATGGTGCGTTCGTATGCTCGCCACCCCTCCAGTAGCACGGGTGTATCTCCCATCGCCCGCCGGTCTGAGCCTGGCCTTTAATTCAGGAAAACAAAAAAAGAGCAGCGT